TCTCTCTCTCTCTCTGTCTCTTCCTCTCTCTCTCTCTCTCTCTCTCTCTCGTCTCTCTCTCAATAAAACAGAGCAAAAGGTGGACATAATAAGAACGTCAAAATTTCAACAAAATTTGATCAGGTGACATAAATGGGTGCATTCCAATGCGTTCACTGGATATTACAAGTGACAAAAGATGTAACAAAAACCAAGAGCAAAAGTATTCATAACATCAAGAAAGAGAGAAAAATCCGATTTTAAAGGAGATAAAAACTTCAGAAAATCCAACCACTCCCAAGATGTGGTGCCGCAGTATCAAACAAATCAAAATGTTTATTGTACGACGTAGGTGCACTTAGCGTGAAATCTACTATAACCTGGGGAACAAAATAATGATTAATTAAAAGTGCATGATATACACCAATCATACATTGTGCCTTAAAGAAAGGGAAGGGAAATAACCGAAATAATCCAATACAAAAATGCATTCCCCTTCCCGTGAGAGAGAATGAATATCTGGAATGTAAAACGAAGTTATACTTTACCTTTGGCTTCTACTTCCACCGAGAAATGGAGCACCATGCTGAATAGGACACGAGAAAGTGTATGGCAAGACAATGAAATTCAGGTGGTAAGAGTACCAAAGAAAGTTCCCACTTCCACAATACGCGTTGGCAGGTCCTTTAATATTTCCAGGTATTTTTTAAACTTGTGCTGTAACCAGTTTCCAAAGAACAGATGGTTTAGTGTCAGGTCACGGTTAGGCCAGGTTAGTGCAGAGAGACAATTTTGTAATAAAAGTTTCGATATTTAAAATGAGACTGCACTCCAGCTGTAACCTGTACCGCAAGACTAACTCAATGCAATACACAGAAAAGAACCTCAATTTTCAGGTTGCTGTTGTTGTTGCTTTTTTTTTTTTGGGGGGGGGGGGGCAAGTATTTTGTGTCAAAATTCAGTTACAGTCTCGAAGTGCAATACCAGAAAAGGGGACGCTACTTTCTGCTGAATATCTGATTACACTGGATGTCTCTTGTGTATGTACTTCGGCAGGCTGCAATAGATACCTTAATGATAACGTAGTCAAGTCAGTGAGATTTCGGGAATAGTTTCGAATACAATATACTTCAAAGTAAACGCTATTACACAGTCAGTAAAATTGAATATAAGCTCATCATGGTGGACTTTAGTTTCACAAAACAAGAAATTCGACTACAGGAATATTCAGCTACAGGAATAGAGACGCTGACAACAACCGCTCTTAAAGTAGATTGCGATCAGCAACGTGCAGGGTTCAAGCAAGCAAACGCACAAGCCTTCACTGCGAACTCAAGAGGGGAAAAACTTAACATTAATGCTATAAATTTACTTGAAACGTCATCTCTTAAATAAAGTTTCTTCCCACATTACTAACTGGGACTTTCTAACGCGTGGTATGATTACAGGAGTTTTCCCCAAACGCCAATGCGAGGCTAAAAATAGTCACATTCGTCATCACAGATGATCGATAAAGAAATGAAGATGCAGGTGAGAGACCGCAGTGTCACCCAGAGAGGAGGGGGAATCGCAAGCCGCGATCCGCCGGTTACTTTGAGAGGGTTCGATACTTTTCCTGGTCATTGAAAATGTAATGAAATTTAGGCACTCTGATATCTATTTTTGGTATTTTGTCTATCTGTCTATCAGATATCTATAATTCTCTTAATCAATTAATCTTTTTATCTACATTACTTAATAAATGCCAGCTTACTGGAATGTTATTGCAAAGAATCACACGCATCTACTAGAGGCAGCCTGTCATCTGAACACTATCGACGTTCGCGAAGCTCTATTGATTGGATCAGCGTTTCAAACCCTGGGAAGCAGAGGCGGGTTTTCTCACGGCGAAAAGTAAACGGGGAGTTTTCCCAAGCATCGTTGTGAATCATGACAACGCATACACAGACAGCACAGGCATATCATCTTTGTCAACAGGAAAAAACCCCAACAACAATCAAAGGTTAACAAAAAGACAATTTGGCCCGTCTAAAATAACAACACTGTTGTTACAACACGTCTACCTTTTCACCGCCCC